ATATACAGTTGTGTGAAAAAGTGTTTGCCCCCTTCCTGATTTCTTATTTTTTTGCATGTTTGTCACACTTAAATGTTTCAGATCATCAAACAAATTTAAATATTAGACAAAGATAACACAAGTAAACACAAAATGCAGTTTTTAAATTAAGGTTTTTATTATTAAGGGGGAAAAAAAAATCCAAACCTACATGGCCCTGTGTGAAAAAGTGATTTGCCCCCCCTGTTAAAACATAAATTAACTGTGGTTTATCAAATCTTTGGAAAGCTGAGTTCAATTTCTCTAGCCACACCCAGGCCTGATTACTGCCACACCTGTTCTCAATCAAGAAATCACTTAAATAGGACCTGCCTGATAAAGTGAGGTAGACCAAAAGATCCTCAAAAGCTAGACATCATGCTGCGATCCAAAGAAATTCAGGAACAAATGAGAAACAAAGTAATTGACATCTATCAGTCTGGAAAAGGTTACAAAGCCATTTCTAAAGCTTTGGGACTCCAGCGAACCACAGTGAGAGCCATTATCCACAAATGGCGAAAACATGGAACAGTAGTGAACCTTCCCAGGAGTGGCCGGCCGGCCAAAATTACCCCAAGAGCGCAGCGACGACTCACCCAAGAGGTCACAAAAGACCCCAGAACAACATCCAAAGAACTGCAGGCCTCACTTGCCTCAATTAAGGTCAGTGTTCATGACTCCACTATAAGAAAGAGTCTGGGCAAAAATGGCCTGCATGGCAGAGTTCCAAGACGAAAACCACTGCTGAGCAAAAACAACATAAAGGCTCGTCTCAGTTTTGCCAGAAAACATCTTGATGATCCCCAAGACTTTTGGGAAAATACTCTGTGGACTGAGGAGACAAAAGTTGAACTTTTTGGAAGGTGTATGTCCCATTACATCTGGCGTAAAAGTAACACGGCATTTCAGAAAAGGAACATCATACCAACAGTAAAATATCGTGGTGGTAGTGTGATGGTCTGGGGCTGCTTTGCTGCTTCAGGACCTGGAAGACTTGCTGTGGTAAATGGAACCATGAATTCTGCTGTCTACCAAAAAATCCTGAAGGAGAATGTCCGGCCATCTGTTCGTGACCTCAAGCTGAAGCGCACTTGGGTTCTGCAGCAGGACAATGATCCAAAACACACCAGCAAGTCCACCTCTGAATGGCTTAAGAAAAACAAAATGAAGACTTTGGAGTGTCCTAGTCAATGTCCCGACCTGAATCCGATTGAGATGCTGTGGCATGACCTTGAAAAGGCGGTTCATGCTCAAAAACCCTCCAATGTGGCTGAATTACAACAATTCTGTAAAGATGAGTGGGCCAAAATTCCTCTACAGCGCTGTAAAAGACTCATTGCCAGTTATCGCAAACGCTTGATTGCAGTTGTAGCTGCTAAGGGTGGCCCAACCAGTTATTAGGTTTAGGGGCAATCACTTTTTCACACAGGGCCATGTAGGTTTGGATTTTTTTTCCCCCTTAATAATAAAAACCTTCATTTAAAAACTGCATTTTGTGTTTACTTGTTATCTGTCTCTTCAGCTGCTAAATGCTCCACTATGTTCACCAGCTCGTCTCTAACTGAGTCTGTCTGCTGTTTGCTGCTGAGCAGGTAGTGAACAGTGGCTTCATCACAGCTTGTTGGATGAAAACAGCTGCTGCTGGAAACACTGAGACTCAACCAAACAGGAAATGTGCTGCAGAACCAAAGCTAGGAGCTAAAAGAGGCTAAAAAGCTGTGTAGAGCTGCAGAGATGGAGACGGCTCATGTGAAGAGACTCGGATGATGCAGAGACCTTGTCGAGCAGCAGCTGGTCCACGTCTCTCTGCAGCCGCTTCACTGAGCGTTCTGCTTCAGTCAGCTTCATCTTCACAGCACTCAGGTCCTCCTCCAGACAACTGCTCTCCTGAACACATTGAGATCAGGTTTCTGCAGCTGCCTCCGACAACTTAAATCTTTAAAGCCAATCAGAAATACAGAGCGATGGTGTTTGATGTTTGCTCAAACAACAGGTGTGCTCACCTGTGCGGCGCTGCAGAGCTCCTCCCGTAGCTCCGCCTCCTGGACTCGGAGCAGCTGCAGCCGGTCCTGCAGCGAGCGGCGCTCTCTCTCCGTCTGCTGCAGCTGAGCCTCGCTCTCCTGCTCCGACTGGCAGCGCAGAGCCGTCAGCCTATCACGGAAGTCCTGCTCCAGCTCCCTGCCAATCACAGAGCAGCTCGTCAACACCGCCGCCTCATTGCTCATCTTCATCATGACGACTCACGGACCAGTATGAGGACCAGTAGGAGACCAGTATGAGGACCAGTATGAGGACCAGTAGGAGTCCAGTATGAGGACCAGTAGGAGGACCAGTAGGAGGACCAGTATGAGGACCAGTATAAATCCAGTATGAGTCTAGTATGAGACCAGTTTGAGTCCAGTATGAGTCCAGTATGAGTCCAGTTTAAGGACCAGTAGGAGTCCAGTATAAGACCAGCATAAGTCCAGTACAAACCAGTCTGACCTGATCCTGGTCTGGTTGAGTGTCTCCATGCTGGCGTGTCTGTCGTCCACCTCTCTGACCAGCTGCAGGTTCCTCTGATGAGCCTGATCCAGGTCTGTCTTCACCTTGTCCCGCTCACTGCAGGCCTGGTCCACCAGCACCCTGCACACACACACACACAATTTATCTCTATCGTTAGCCTAGCTTAGCGTGTGGCGTGATCCACATCAAAGCATCACGTTGTGTGACATCATCAGACCCACTGCAGGTGCTGGATCTCGTTCTTGTAGGAGATCAGAGCCGCCTGTTCGATGCCATTCCCGCTGACCAGCAGCTCGTTGTCCAGAGCCAGAGTCAGGTCAGCCAGACTGAGACGCTCCTCCAGAGGGAAGTCCAGAGTCTGGAACAAGACGGGTAGAGGTACACAAAGTACAACATGTACCTCTGAGGTGTAGTACAGTAAAAAGTACAACATGTACCTCTGAGGTGTCGTACAGTAAAAAGTACAACATGTACCTCTGAGGTGTAGTACAGTATAAAGTACATTATGTACCTCTGAGATGTAGTACAGTATAAAGTACAACATGTACCTCTGAGGTGTAGTACAGTAAAAAGTACAACATGTACCTCTGAGGTGTAGTACAGTATAAAGTACAACATGTACCTCTGAGGTGTAGTACAGTATAAAGTACATTATGTACCTCTGAGATGTAGTACAGTATAAAGTACATTATTTAGTAGTAGTATGAAGTAATACAACATGGAAATACTCAAGTGAACTACCTCAACATCCCCCTGAAGTACAGCAGCTGTTGTTTATTAAAGTGTGCTGCAGCTCAGAGGAGACCTGAACCTGGATCTCAGAAACCTGGTGCTGCTCCTCTGACACGACCCTGAGGAACCCGAGGTTCCTCCAGACCCTCTGAGCTGCTAAAGTAGCCTTCAGTGATAAAGTCACTAAGAGGAACTCTCGTTGGTTCTGGCGCCCCCTGTGGACTAAAGTGGTCGTGTCTCTGAGCACCAGAGTCTCTTTAGAAAACCTCTCATTCTACTGCAGCAGGTCTGACAGTCTGACCCTCTCAGTCCTGGTCATGGTTCTCCCGCGCCTCCCTTCCCTCCAGCGGGTCCAGCAATACGTCCTGGGTGTCCAGCAGCGGGGGCCTCTGGATCTGGGTCTGTCCATGGTGGACCGGTCTCTGAGCTGAAGGAGTTTCTGGTGAACCTGCATGAGTTCACTACACTAAACTGAGACTGGTTCATATAGAGGATCAGGACTACACCGAGACTGGTTCATATAGAGGATCAGGACTACACCGAGACTGGTTCATATAGAGGATCGGGACTACACCGAGACTGGTTCATATAGAGGATCAGGACTACACCGAGACTGGTTCATATAGAGGATCAGGACTACACCGAGACTGGTTCAGGACCAGGTAAAAGCAGCGATGTCGTCGACCCACCAGACAGAAACAGAAACCTGGATCTAAACGATGGGCTTCACTGAGATAAAGAACCACAGCTTCTCCTCCACAGATCTCCACATGACTCTAAACCCCTCCACACACCTGGTCCTGGTCCCGGTCTGTACTGACCTGCAGGATGTCCCGGGCGTTCCGGATGCCCTCCTCGCTCCAGAGGGCGACGACCCGCTCGGTGCTGGTGCATCCTGAGCCCTCGTCCAGCCGGCTGAGAACCCTCTGACCCACCGTGGCCGTCAGCAGGGAGGGCGAGGTGGTGCGGATCGAGCGCTCCTCTAAGGCCTGAGACTGCATGGGGGACACACGAGACCAGGAGGTGAGAGTCTGCTGGTCCAGGTCTCTGCACACAGAGCAACTTAAACACAGCAGCTATGAACCAGGTCTCTAAGGGTCCTGGTGACGTGGTCACATGTAATCTGGATTAGTCCACTTCACTCTGAGCCATGGGGGACACAAAGGGGACACATCTATTTTTAGTGGGTTTGCATCTATTTTTAATGGGTTTGCATCTATTTTTAGTGGGTTTGCATCTATTTTTAGTGGGTTTGCATCTATTTTTAATGGGTTTGCATCTATTTTTAGTGGGTTTGCATCTATTTTTAATGGGTTTGCATCTATTTTTAGTGGGTTTGCATCTCTTCTTTCCACCACTGCAAGCAGTGAAGACATAGAACCTGGTTCTGGGTTGTTTGAGAGGAGCTTTTCCTGCTGATCCAATAAACAAACAGCAGAAACACGTCAGCAGCTGAGAGACGTTGATCTGAATATTGTTAGTGAGCTGATACATAAAGAACTTCACCAACATGTTCTTTACTTCAGTAGAAGAAGAAATCAGCTGGAGCAGCTTCCTGTTTCAAGAGTTTCACAATAAAAGCAGCCTAGAACAAGTTACTGTTGGAACATCAGCTGATCTTCTATCGATCTTTACTGATCAATAGTCAGAGTGACTCTCCTGTCATGTGACACACATGACCAGAGGAGACCAGCTCCTCTGTCTTTCTCTTCTGTATGGAGACGTTCTGTCCTCCTCACCTGAGTGCAGTAGGAGGTCCTGGTCTGGGTCTGGGTCCTGGTCTGGTCCGTCCTCACCCAGGTCAGCAGACCACAGCCTGAGATGAGGCCTGATGAGCGGTGCATGCTGATTCCTACCTGTGTGAGAGGAGAGCTCCCTGAAGACACACCTGAGTGGACTGATCTGATGACTGTCACCTGCAGAGGAGCCTCCTGATTGGCCCGTCGGTGGAGGGGGGGGGGGGGGGGGGGGGGGGGG